CACGGGGACAGAGGCACCGCCAGCCCCCCCCCGAGAGCCACTCGTGGGGCTTTGCCGTCCCCCAGTGCCTCCCCCAGAGCCGGGGGCTGCCGGCGCTCCCATCGCTGCCCTTGCCAGCAGCTGGAGCAAATTCAGAGTTTACGTGCAACGCGCCATAAGGGACGGATCCTGCCCCAGCACCCACCCGCCGGGGATGCAAAGCCTGGGCTGCACAAAGCAGAGCCGTGATATTCGGGAGCAAGCAAAGCACGGTGTATTTGCAGCGGGGGATGCAAGACGGGATGGCCAAAATACCATCGAGCCCACCGGAGTGCACCGAAAGGCGGGCAGCGAGCGCACCCCAGGCACACGCTCACCTTGTACTTGTTGGGAACGTCCATCTTGTTGCGGAGGAACTTGGCCAAGTGCATGACGGTCATCGCGGCGGGACAGCGCAGGAACCGCACCCCGTTCTTCTGGGGACGCAGCGGGAGGGCGCCGGGGGGAGAGACGTTGCTGAGAGTCTGCCGTGCAATTAATGGGCAGTTCCCACCTCCTTCAGTTTGGGGTGCCCTCCTGTCCCCCCCTGCACCCCAAAAGCCTGGGAGGCAGCTGGACACGGAGCTCTCCACGCCACGGTCCCACCACACTCACCTTCTCCTTCTCCAGGTCCCCGTTCTCGACGGTCCCTTTCTTCTCCTCTCTGGGGGGAAGGACAGCAAACACAGGACAAAGTTTATGGAGGAATAAAAAGGCAGAGAGAAAAAAATAACCCAGCAGAAGGGCTGTCCATGGAGGAGCTACAGGGGGAAACATCCAGCGACCGTCAGCCAAGCTCTGGCTTCACCGCCCCGACCACACACATGCCCACGTTGCCGCATTTCCAATCCAGCGCACCGCAACCACTGCCCAGGCTGCCACCTTCCCTGCCTCCCTTTGAACCGCGGCTCCAGGTGCCGGTGACATCCTCGGAGGCCACCACCAGCACCCGAGACGCGGCCCGCCTTGGGGCCCTGCTCCCT